AGATTATAAAATTAATAATTTATTAATTAAAATTAATACTTTCTATTTCTTTATAACATCTACCTATTGCTATCTAATATCTAAATGAATTTAACCCAGACTTATTAAATTATAAATGAGAAATTAAGAATTAACACATCCTTATATTAGATTATTATATTTACAAGCCTCTCCTTTATGTGTGACATAAGCAGGGATATTTTCTTCACATTTCTCTTTAAAAACTTTATTTTTTTTCACATACAAGCAACATCTATAGTTTTCATATAAGAACACGATTTTAATCTTATTATATTTCATTACAACTTATATTATTCAAAAATTCTAAATTTTGATACTATAAAACTTCATTTTTGTAGCGTGATCAAACACTTCCAGTTATTTAATAGTATTTGCTATTAAATTATAAAGGACAATCATAATCTTAATTAATTATTCTTCTTTCACAATTCCCATCCTAAAAAATATTAGAAAGAAGTTTTTATTTAAACACAAGAAAAATTATTCAATTCCATAGGAATAGAAATTAAGATCTAATTCTGATAACTCCTACGATTAAATATATAATCTATATTATTATTATTAATAATGACTTAAATCATGTATAGCCATCTACCTTTTACAAATGAACACTACTAATTTTTAATTGATAAAGATGTATAATCCTAGAGTATCAATTTATAAGTTTTTTTCAATATTAATACACTCACATATTTTCTCATCATATATTTTCAAATTCGACTTTAAAACAAGCTAGAAATTAAACTTATTTTCACAGATTAGATTTTACTAAGTTATTCCATTTTAAAATCCTATACTGGCACATAAAATGATGATATTTTATGTGTCAGTATAGGTTAAAACTATTAAAAAGGTTTCCCTATAATTAGCATGCCTTGGGCTTCTTTGCCCATACTATCTTGTAGTGAAAACTTGACAGAAATTAACTTGATGTTGCCAATTATGCATTCCCTCATTTCTTCTCGAATATTAGAATATTAGCTATACTGCTCTAGTATATATAGAAATAATCAGTATAATTATAATGAACCAATTAACAAAATGCATCAATAAATGTTATTCTTGAAAAATGATTTTTTATGAACAAGATATAGCAGATAACAATTGCAAGAATAAAACAGAAAAAGAAAGGAAAAGCTAGAGAGGGAGGCTATTATTACTCCTATTATTGTTAAATTTATGTTAGAAAAGGATTCAGGGATTTTGTTGAGCCTTGTGGCAAAGGTGAAGCCGTAGATTTTAAAGATACTATGAGATGCTGAATTTTCAGTGATTTTTAAGATATAATTTTGATGTAGATAACTCAATCAATTTCATAATAAAAATGTCGCTTGCATGTTTCTGCTATTCTTCATTTAATATGCTGCTGTGCATCTGAGTGAATTCGTATTAACAGCAATGGTTCTATTTTTCTAATTTTTCGAGTGTTGTTGATTATTCCATTTCACTGAAGGATAGAAAGTCTTGTAAAAAAGGTATTTCCTCTAATAGTAGACATGGTTACAATTTTACATAGCTTAAAGAACTTACCATACTTAAACCTTCCCTGAGTTATTCACTGGATGTAATCTCATTTATACAGAGATAAAAGCATTTATTCAAGCATTCATTTAATTTATAATAAGTCTATTTAAAATAATAAAAACCAATTAATTAATTGCTTTGGTAATTAATAATAATTATTTTAAATATTAAACAACTTTTTATTTAGAATTTATTAAATCATCTGTATCATTAATATTAATTATTTAAAATAAGACAAAAACTATTAATTATGTATTTAATCATTAATATGTAAAAACA